AGAAAGACACTTAAATTCTTTAGATTTATTGACAAGAAGTGGGCACAAAAAATAAAGTCAGATGTTAAATGTTTGAAACATTACTACAAAAAGCTAACAATAGTAGGCTCACAATTTCATCAACTCATTGTACAGTAAAATTGCTTTTAATTTTGCTAATTGCAACTAAAAGAAGCATGCTCTAGGAATTGAAATAAAATTCTTGAGATAAATTAGTAGTTTCAATTTTCTAACAAACTTAATCAGTTCTAAAGCTGTTTGAAACACCTCATCACATATGAGGTTCACCTTTTCTTCCCCTCTATCTTCTGGCAGAGGAGTTAAAAGCAGATCAAGAATTAAGAACAACAACAATAAAAAGCAGCAATTAAATAAAATGAGGTTGCATAGTTCAGGAAAAACACACCACTGGCTGAGATGGGGAAGAGGGTCTTATTATGAAAACAAAAATGTTTAAGAATGAAACAATTTAGATAACCTACTCTAGAACACTTCAGTTTGCAAAAGGAGTTTGTTTTTCTTCATTCTACACATACACACAAGAACAGAAGCAGGGAGATTAAAGTCCATAGAATAAAAAGAAATGTTAATTGTCTTAGGATGACTTCACATACTGCTTTCAAAAAAATCTTAATATTTAAAAAATATTAAGTCCTTGTTAATGATACCAAGTGAGTGTGTACTGTCTGATATTTTTATTGAAATGGTGATCCTGATGGACTGAGTGTAGAAAATTGATGCGTGGTGACATGGAAATATAATGCAAGTGATAGCAGAATCTAGTGGTGGGTATATTGTAAAATGTTTACAGCTTTGATAGATATTTGAAATTGATCATGAAAAGTTGCTGAGAAAAATGTATTTCTATAACAAGATTACCAAGTATCTTAAAGCTTTTAAGTACTCAAGAAATTTAAATGTTTAAACTAAGTGAAGGGAAACTGCAATTGAAAACCCAGAAGCCCAATTTGTGAATACTTTTAGAGAAAGATGGAGGGTGAATAATATCAAAATGCTTTGTATCTTCATAGAAAATATATATACTTCTTTTGACGCAGAGATGAACCAACAATTAACAATTACTATGCACAATAGTCTTTTAATACACTTGATTCACAAATATGCAGTTTTCTACTCTCTATAGAAAAAAATATTTAAAAAGGCATTGTGGAGTGAAGAAAAAGAACTTTTTCCCAACATCAGTGTCAAGCCCTCACAATCCAGCAAGTAACTACCTTCACTAAATATAAATGTAACATGCCATAGTAGTTATGGCCATGCTATTAAAATTGGATTCATATAACAATTTTACTTGTTATCAAATTGAGATTGCATTAGAAAAAGAAAAAAAGATATAGAACAGAATTCACCAAAATCTTTGCTATTTCAAGCTCTTGTTTTTTGTTTGGGTTTTTTTTTTAACTGTATTTTTTTTTGTCTTTTCTTTTTTAGTACTGGGGATCGAACCCAGGACGTTGCACTTGCTAGGCAAGCACTTTGCCACTGAGCTACATCCCAGCCCGCAAGCTCTTGTTTTATGAATCATGATTAATGGCAATAATTCATCTCTACTCTCTGTGAAATGCTAACACTTGCTAAAGGCACTCATATTCTGGTCTTAACAGACATAGGGTCACATGCAACCATAAGCCAGTACTTTTTTGGTAGATACACAGAAAAGAAGTTCATAAATGATTCCCATCATCCTGGGAAAACAATTATCAGTAGAAATGTCTTATGAGAAACTATTTACACAGATTTATTCAACTACACAAATATTAATAGCTACCAAGGGCAGGACACCCCCACCCAGAATATCACCACCAAAACCAGACACTTTCTTTTATATATAAAACTCCTAACCACTGATCTGGGTAATAAAGAAAAAAATGGTTGGTAAGGTGAAATTTTTTTAAAAAACTGTTCAAAGGTCAACATTAAACTTTTGCGTACTCTGAAAGCACATCTCTCAATATATTTCTAAAACAATTCTACTAACACACACACACACACACACACACACACACACACACACTCCACTCCAAGTTCCTAAGCAAGTATTCTCAGCCTAAATTTTAAAACAAAGTCAAGAATACTGTGAAAAACAGTAACAGACAAGCTACCATTGTTCAGTCTCAACTGAAATGGGAATCAAGCAAATCCCACTGTTATTGCTTAGACTATCTACAGAGGGAGATTTACAATATGTGCATATCTGTGTGTCTTTGTGTGTGTGTGTGTGTGTGTCTGTGTGTGTGTGTGTGTGTGTATGATGCATTCATGTATCTTTCTATCACTGTTCAAACTGTAGTCAGTTATCTACCTCACATAGTTCTGCAGAATAGTTTGTGAAGTCAGGTGAGAGACCATGTGCTTTCCATTAGCCTGGTAGGTCACATGAATGGAGATGACCCAAGTCATAATTCTTTTTTCAATCTCAGGTACAAAAATCCTAGGTGGGAGCTGGGCACCAGAGGGCCATGCCTGTAATCCTAGCTACCCAGGAGGCTGAGATCTGAGGATCACAGTTCAAAGGTAGACCAGACAAGAAGGTCCAAAAATAAAAAAAGCCGAGACAAGCAACACAAACAATAAACAACATGCACATATTGGCAAGTTACAAGATATGACACCAAGTCAGGACCAGTAAAGTATTTTTTGTTCCAACTGCTTTGGAGTCAAACGATTAATGGAAATACTCAGTTTTCCAACTGACCTTTAAAAAAACAAAAACACTTTGAAAGCATATGCAATCTGATCTTTTAATTGAAACTTGAAACTTCTCCATTACAACCTCTCACTCTCAACACTTTGGAGGAGTTCCTAATTATCTTCAACAGTGATTTTTAATGATGACATATACAAAGATATTCACAGAGTAGGAAGATTTGATATGATTATTAGTTTTCTTATCCTTTTTCTTTCTCTTTGTTTTTAACTAAACATTTTTAGGCCTCTGCCCTCTTGTATATAGGACAGAAAAAGACACATGATTTCTCGGAGAAAGAGTACAGATCCTAAGCATATTACAGAATAGAGCTTATTTCACAACATGAAATAAGAGATCACATGTCACTGACCTAAAGGCAACAACTTCCTGCTTAGAATGACTATACAGCATGCAGCCACAGCAACCTCTGTCACCCTCTGTCTCACCTAGGGAACATGGAAAGAATACAGCAAGTAACTAGCCCTAAACCCAACCTACCATCACAGAGACTTGTGATTTTTTTTTCTATAAATGATCACAGAAATTACTCATCAACTTCCCGAGTTTGGAAATTAAGAAACAAATTTAGCTATCATAGGCAATACGGTACTAAAATGTCATATAAAACAAATACATACCTTGTTTTTAGTGCAAAGTAACTGAACAAGAAACAACACTAGAAAACTAACTTTTTTCATCAGAAGAAAATGCATCCATAACATCCATTAAGGGCACTGGGAAACTGGAAACCTGAATACACAGGCTTGAAAAGAAATCAAGCCCTTAAGTCCACAGCTTTTTGAACATATACAATGGCATTGCTAAGTGGGGAGAACAGGAAGAGGATGTCCATCAATTTCATTTTCAGAGTAACAAAAATGAAAGATGAATGCCACTGTTACAAAATGTAAATTCATATCTGTAATATTTTAGTGTTATCTGAAACAGAGTCAGTAAAAAAAAAAATCTCTCTAAATGGTATCACATAAACCTGTGAGGGTGGGTGGGTGTAACTATGCACACATACATACCTCTACAGAGGGAAACATGAGATTTTTAAGCAATCATAGAACCAAGTGTATTAAAATCTACCCCACCCCGGCAAATCATACTTAGCAGCAAAATGAATAACCAACTTGGAAATAAGCCCTAAATTGCCCTAAACTGGCAGTTGTACTTTAAAAATTACTGGAAAAATGTGTTACTCAAAGAATTACAGACCAAGATAGATCTCAACAGACCATTAATTAAGTCTTCTGTTTCTGGGAGGAAAGTATTTTTATCAAATAATTTTGCCTTCCAATAAACCATCACTTTGGCAGAATAAAGTAACTTCATAATATTCTAGAAGTTAATCACAAAACTGAATTTTAATGACAGGTCTAGAGTGCTCAAAATTGTTCCATTGTATTACTTAAAAAGAACGATGATTATAATTTCCCTTCTCTACATCCATTTGCCCATAGAGTTCTCAAGGCTACACAGGAGTTTCACTTTCACTTGAAAACATTAATAATCATACATATATTTACCCTACTATAAAAATACTGCTTAATATAAACGTCCTGGTGAATGTGGCATGGATGGCTACCAATCTTAACCAAAAATATAAATTCATTTACTAAAACATAGTAAATAGAGAAAATGCCGTTAATCAAAGTTCAGAGAATTTCATTAGTTCATCTAGAAATATACTATGGCTTTTATGTAAAAGACATAATAATACTATCATAATTACCAGATACTAAAATCATTTGTAACACGTTTTTAGTGTCTTCAAGAAAGCCAAAATACAAAGATCAAGAGCAAAATTCATATACTTTTCTACTGAAAATGATGCTGCTGAAATCTGCACAATTTTTAAAACAGTTTCTCTATGGATTTTCAGGAAGTGGTATTTTTCAGAACAGCCCAATAAGCCGGCAGGACAAAGAAGAATGTAAAAAGGTAAGGACTGGATTATCTAAAAAGTCTGCCAAAATAAAATAGAGATTGAAGTTATTGTTTAGACTACCATGTAAGTGCAGTTGACTATCAATAAAAACATAACTTTAAGTTTAAAAAAATCAAATATGTCTTCATATTTCTTAAACTCATTAAAAAATAATCCATCTTAGGGCTGGGAAGGTGGCTCAGTGGTAGAGTGCTTGCCTTGCATACATGAGGCCCTAGGTTCAATTCCTCAGCACCACATAAGCAGAAAAAAAAAAGCCAGAAGTGTTGCTGTGGCTCAAGCGGTAGGGCACTAGCCTTGAGCTGAAGAGCTGAGGGACAGTGCCCAGGCCCAGAGTTCAGCCCCCACGACTGACAAAAAAAAAAAAAAGATCCATCTTAAACTTATTATTCAAATCTGGGCTTAGAAAACCCATAGTACAGCCAAAGCATACAAATAAGCTTATTAGACAGGCTGATACAACTAGGTGTTTCATGAAAAAGTAGGAGGAGGGTAAGTGGCAATTAAATGTGTGAAATAATTGAAAATGAAGTTACACTACTTGGAAGAACTAAAGCACTTTGAAAAATGTCTAAGTTTAAGAAAGCTTCATTTTAAAATGGAGGGAAATGACACAGGGAAATAACATCCTGGGGAAAAACAAAAACAAAAACAACCCTAATCCCTAATGGAGCCTAGAGTATGTATGTGTGTTACTGACAATGCACTGAGTTGATGGTTCCAGTGGAGCCTTGGAAAATGAACGTCTCTACTTACCTGTTTTTATTGAGATCTGAAGTAAGAACTCAAAGTTGTGTTTCATCTAACAGTACATAAAACTAAAATAACAAAAGAATATGAGATTGTTAAACAGTCTAAGTGATCAGGCTACTAACAACAAGAGGTTGGCCAAGAATAAAAAGTTCTTTCTGAAGGAACAGGAAGGTCACATGCTATACACAGCACAACACAGTTGGCCTTAGAATGCATTATGACCTAAGAAGCAGGCTTCCCACACCCCCCCTCCCACCACCCCTAAGTTTTGACATCTCACAGTACCACTGCAGGTTACATATAGAACAGTAAGCAGAGGAATGTACTCATATCAAAAGGATCACAAAGTAGAGCAAGTTGACAGAAGGCAAACCACAGGCAGGACAAACTGTTCTATCTGAATATGGCAATCACTATACATATCCCAGATTCTCCATCTCATTTCTATACCGCTGTTCAGACACCTTGCTTTTATGTTGTTTGCTCTCTAAATGCTGCCGGAATTCGATCTCTTCGCCAGCTCCCACATTACACATTGAGCAGTAAAACTGGCCACTTGGAGTAACACACATGGCCAGATCACGTGGAATTCTCTGCCGAGAGCGTGGATTGAAGTAAGGACCTGGCAAAGTAAGATATAAAAATAATATATTCAAAATATTCACTTGGGAAATGACAGTTTCATTCTTACCGATATTTGTAATTATAAATATAAATTATATAACATGTATGTATTATGTATCTTTGTATATTTACTATATATTCTTAATTTTATTCACTTAGGAAATGATAGTTTCATTCTTACCAATATAAATATAAATTATATAATATATAAATTATATAACATATGTAATCTTTGTATATTTATTATATATTTACATATTCTTAATTTTAAAGGAGAAGTTAATGAATTTTCTTAAACTATATGTTTAATCTACACAGATAAAAGCATTCCAGCTGTTAGCATACAGTATATGTATTTGACTATATGTGTTTGTCTGTCCAGCCAAACTCTAAAACATGAATACAATTTAAAACATACTTTAAGTTCTAAGCATTAAATTCTTATAATTATGTTAATGTGTTAATCAAAAAATTCCACTTGAAAAATTACCCAAGGGAAACACTGAGGTTTTACACAGAGACTTAGCAACAAAGATATTCACTTTAGCAATGTTTATGAAACTTTATAAGAGAAGTCCATAACTGAATGCAATGGAAATCTATGTCGTTGGCCAGTGATTCAGCTTAGTGGTAGAGCATTTGCTTAGCATCCATAAGACCTTGAATTCTATATCCAGAACCACATAGACAATAAAAAAATACGTACATAGGAAAATCCTTAATTATGATTATAATATTAAGTAGAATGAGAACATCACAATATCACTATTTCTATTTCTATATCATATTTGAAAAGATTAGAATGACAGCAGGAATGTTGATTACATTACTTTTTACCTTCCCTTTACATTTCTTCTAGGTACATTATTGACTTCTTAAGTCTGATCATCAAACACATCAAAATAATAAATATCCAGTGCTATTCTCAAAACAGTTTTTACTGCATTCCACAAATCTTGATATGGTATTTTCACTAATTTTTCATTCTTAGCATTTTAAATGTCTAGTATAATCTTTTCTTTGAATCAGGAATTATGTATAAGTATTTTAAATTCCTGAACAGAGGGAAGGGGTGAAATTATCCAAAAAGAAATATACTCTTTACCAGACTTATGTAAATGTAATCATTCTGTATGTCACCTTTATGAAAACAATGAAAAAACTTAAAATCCTGAATAGAAATATTGTTTAGTTTTAAATTTTGTTATTGACATTAACATTTTTTGTTAATTCACATTAAATTATACTCTGGTCAGAGAATATAATCTCTACTACTTTTATCCTAAAATTTTGTTTTATCTGATATTAATATACCTACTGAGGCATCCTTCATTTTACCTAGATTTTCCTTATATAATTGAATAATCTTTGTCATTTAACTGATTTCAATAGCATTTATTATAATTACTAATGTTTAGACTTTTTTGTTGTTGTTGCTTATTGGTGCTGAAGAATCCAACCTAGGGCCTCATGCATGCAAGGCAAGCACTCTACCACTGAGCCACCTTCCCAGCCATGTTTAGACTTTTTAATGCACTGCATTTTGTTTTCTAAATGGTCTTTTTCTTTTTCTTTTTTTTTTTTTGTTGGTCATGGGGCTTGAACTGTGGGCTTGGGTGCTGTCCTTCAACTCTTCAGCTCAAAGTGAGAGCTATACTACTTGAGCCACAGCGCCACTTGTGGCATTCTGGCAGTTAATTGGAGATGAGCCTCACGGACATTCCTTCAATAGGCTGGCTTTGAATCATGATCCTCAGATCTCGGCCTTCTGAGTAGCTAGGATTACAGACATGAGCCACTGGCGCCAGGCTAAATGGTCTTTTTCTTAGTCATCTCTTGCTTTTCAATGAACTTTTTAAAGTTTTGTTTTCTTGTTTTCCGGTATATATAAATAGCTCCGCTGGCATGTGTTGTATTGCAGGCAAAGGTTGGGAAAGGATAAAGGACACTTAAGCAGAACAAACTCCTATAAATGCATGATTCTACTTGAATGTTATATATAAAAAGCACCAAGGGAACATTTCAAAGCATATGTTTGTCTGGATCCCATTTCAAATATACTGTTTAAAAATCTCTAATATTTCAGGCAATTACATTTTCTAAGAACTCCCTATATCATTCTGATTTACTACCCTTGTTGAAACTACTGCTAAGAGCCAGGAAATGGTTTATATCTGTAATCCTAACTACTCAAAAGGCATGAATTCCAGTTTGAAACCAGCCCAGTTCAGGCAAGAAAATCTGTGAAAGTCTTTTTTTTCCTTCAGATTTTAAAAATTTTATTGTAAAGCTGATGTACAGAGAGGTTTCAGTTACATAAGTCAGGTAATGAGTACATTTCCTTTTGAACAGTGTCAATACCCCACACCACTCTCCCAGTTTTTTCCCTCCTGACTTCCTTCCCCCCAAGTTGTATAGTTAATTTCCAGCATAGTGTCTAGTGGGTATCACTGCTGAATTGGTTCAATCTTTGTCCTACCATTTCTGATTAACAACCAAAATGTCACTGCCAGGAAGCCACATGCTATTGGCTCAGGCCTGCAAGCCTAGCTAATCCAGAGGCTAAGATATGACAATGGCAGTTCAAAGTGCTAGCCTGGGAAAAAAGGCCATGAGACACTTTTTTGCAATTAATAAACAAAAAACCAGAAGTGAAGGAGTGACTCAAGTGGTAGAGTGCCAGCTTGGAACAAAAATGCTAAATAAGATGAGAAGTACAAGTTGTCATGTCCAAAACGAGCTTTACAACGTCGGTGCGGGGGGGGAAGGATTGGGATTGGGGGGGAGGGGGGAGGCTGGGAAGGGATGTGAAGGGTAAACCAAAAGAGGAGGCTGCAATGCTTGGTAAGAAATGTACGCATTATCCTGCCCATGTAATTGTAACCCCTCTGTACAGTATGTTCACAAATAAAATAAAATTAAAAAAAAAAGAGTATGAGGCCCAGAGTTCAAGCCCCAGTTACTGACATAAAAAGAAAAACAAAAATCAAAAGTCAAAAAAACAAAACAGAAACGACAATAAAAATACTACAAGGAGCCTGGCATCAGTGGCTCATGCCTGAATCTTAGCTACTCAGGAGGCTGAGATCTGAGGATCACAGTTCAAAGCCAGCCCAGCCAGAAAAGTCCCTGAGACTCTCATCTCCAATAAACCACCAGAAAACCTAAAGTGGCACTGTAGCTCAAGCAGTAGAGCGCTTGCCTTGAACTAATGAGCACAGGGACAGCGCCCAAGCCCAAAGTTCAAGCCCCATGATGGACCAAAAAAAAAAAAAAATACTACAAGGGCTGTAGGCATAGCTCTGTGGTAAAGACCTGCCTACCTCACAAAAAAGAGAATTCCTAAATTCAAACCCTAGTACCAGGATCACCACCACCAACAACAAAGGATGCTTAAATTTTCCTTTTAACACAACTGTTATTATTTTATTTTCCCCATAAGGACGAGGGATATAGTATGCTTTACTAGCATGCTCAAGATCCCCAGTTTGATCCCTAGCACTGACAGAAAAAAGAAATATCTTCCTCATGACATAGAAATTGAACGTGGTATAACTTTCAACAAAGCAGCTTATTCTTACAATGTGGTACCAGAAGAAATATAAAGGAACCTATGGTAAGAGACCCTAAAATACTACTGTGGTTTAAAATAAAATTAATAATAATAAATAAACTAAGTAGGAAATAAATATGACCTGAAATACACACCAGCCTGCAAAGTCACTAAACCAATTCAACGAAACAATGATTGCTCAATGACTGCTCAATGAGTTCTCAGGGCTTATGTACTACTAATAAAGGAAAATAAAAATAAGAAAGTCCCTTTGCAGAATGTATGTGGAAATGTCCAAAACCTATAAAAATATGCAGGTTACCTGAATTATTCTGTACTGTATACATATTTCTTCTATTAGGCATCATCTTAAATTCATTCGCTTCTTTACGGCTTCTTCTTTGACCCACTTCTGAGGAATCCCTAGAGAAAGTTTAAAAAACATGAGATTTCTAAACAAGGATCCATTTCTGTTCTTTTCCTGTAAAGGTAATTATCTCTCGTAACAGTTTGGTCTCAGAGAAAATGGCAATACCTACGAGAATGAGTTACTCTGGGCTTCTGCCAGTCTCAGCCTCTTGGCATGATTCTTCCCTTGATAGTGAGCCTGTGCCACAGCAGGGGAACTAAAGGAGGCATCACAAAGCTTACAGTAGTCATTCTCCGTGGCCAGTATCACTCTGCCTCCAGGCTTGAAAGAGCCCATCTGACATAAAAAAAGAAAAACACAAGAAGAAATAAGGTTAATAAAAAATATAGAATTCATTTCATCATTCGTCTCAAAAGTTGTTCTGTAGAGCTGAAAAATAATCAAAAGATATAGCATGACCACAAGCACTCAGTTTGTTTACTTTTTTGGCACTTGGGTGTGAATTTTTGGCACACAGACTTAATACTTCCAAGGCAGATGGTCTACCTCTTGGGCCATTCCTCCAGCCCTAGCATTCAGCTTTATAAGAAAATGAAATGAGTCTGAGAAAAACGAAGCCAGACTGGAAGGCACTCATGGCTTTGTATTATAATCATCTATGTACCAAAGCTCTGAATGATCATTGAAGAAAAATTTTAACTGTGTTTTAGAATTTCCACATAGAGGAGTTGGACAAGGAAATAATAGTTAGATAAATAGATGAGGCCTAAAATCTCATTTCTAGAAAGAGTAAAGTATGCTCAGCATCTATTAATAAGCATATACTAAATACCAATTGTTTATTGGGCTTGCTGCCAAGTCCAGAGGGATTAGGTTATATTTTCAATGTCCCAATACTCATAAAGTCTACAAACAATATACAGATTCAATATAATCAAAGAAAGATAACTAGCAGATCCAGACAACTGTATTCAGATTGGGGAACATATTAAAGGAAATATAATACTAAGGATATTTGTTAGGCCCACCCAAGAAAAATAGCTATAACCTAGGCAACTGGCCCACCTGGGGGCAGGCCCTAGGCCCTGAGGTCACTTCCTCATCCTCTGAGGATCTGCTGTGACTATACCTCCTCCCACCCTTCACTGTGGGCACACCTCCTGCCTGCTATAAGTTGCCCCTCTGCATGCCTCTACCTTGTGCTGGCCAGCAGGTTCAGTTCTTATATTAAACTTTCTCCTCTACCTGAACAACCACATGGATGTCTTTCTCCAAACCTTACATATGTTTATATATGGAGAGAGAGAGAGAGAGAGAGAGATAACATATATATAACTATACAGTTATATATATAGTTTTATACATATGTACATAATGTATATATACATACATATATATGTATAGTTCCAGTTGTAAGATCAGTTTCTTGAGGTACCTTTTAGGGACCTTTGTCTAGGGAGCTAGTATACATGCATTCTGGATTGTGTTGTTACGATAGACTTGAGAGTCCAGTCCCTTCTGTTCTTTGGAAGACAAAGTAGGTGATTCAAGAAGATGGTCTTGCATTTTTTGTAGCTTTTAAAATATGTATTCTACTACTTAATCTTTGAATTATTATTTTTTTACAGAATGGTACAGTTCTCATAAAAAAATAACTGTAAACTCAGGATGCCCAAGCACTCTCTGAAGCAGTCAGGATTAGCAAAAGGGTGGAGTGAGGTTCTTGACTGGGACACAAACTTTAAGGGGGAGTAAAAAAAAACAAAACACAAAATTGGATGGGAAGGGGAAACAAAGGAGGAGGCTACAATGCTTGATAAGAAATGTACTCATTATCTTGCCCATGTAATTGTAACTCCTCTGTACATTATTTTCACAATTAAAAAAAAACAGAAAAACAAAACCTCAGTTCTCAAGGCAAATATTTTACAGCAATATTAGAAAGTCTGAAATTAATGAAAAAAAATCAGTGGTTAAAAAAACTGAAAACTTAATGCTAGGATAACTAATACTAATTTTTCTTTTGCCTTCAAATGCAATATCACTTGGCATAGCACTGTTACTGAACTTAACACTTCATATTTTAAACATTTTTATTGTTAACTTATTTTTGTACTAGATTTTAAAAATATTTCTTTAAATATTATTTTAATTACTTTAGCTTTGGAATATTCACTTAAATTCTGTGTACTGGGAAAGTGTCTCACTTCCTTCAATCTAGTTCTGGACCTTCACTTTATTTAATGCTTGCAACAACATAGAAGTATCAGCCTTACTTATCAAAGTACAGTACATGAATCACAAGTATGAGCCTTTCTGGAAGTTTATTAGAAGCTCAGGATTGCTGAGTAACTTTCCACAGATTTATATATGTTACAGTGGTGAGACCAGTTCCTTTTGAGCCTGGACATCTGTTCTTAATCACCATAGTGTAAATTTATGTTTCTAGTATCACTGTTTTAATGTTTCAAATGTGGATGGCAATTCTAGCTATTTTTCCATAATGTAGATTTTTCAGGGGGATGAGATATATTGAAAATGAAACCAGGATAGAAAAACACTCAAAGAGAGATCATCAAGCTGAATAGTTTTCACATTACTGGTTGCTGAAGGCTGCTCCAAGACTGGGTGGGTACCTCCTATTGGGGTTGCTTACTACTAGGAAAGCACAGAAGCTGCCTTTTATCACATCACTCCCTCTGACATTTTTTTTTGTTGGTGGTGGCAGTTATGGGGATTGAATGCTGTCCCTGAGCTCTTTTGCTCAAGGCTAGCACTCTACCACTTTGAACTACAGAGCCACTTCTGGTTTTCTGGTGGTTAACTGGAGATAAGAATCTCACTTTCCTGAAGGATCAACATCCTGAAAATACTTCCCAAGACTATCTACAAATTCAATGTGATACCTATCAATATTCCAACCTCATTCTTCAAGGAAATAAAAGAGGGATTCCAAAATTCATATGGAACAATAAAAGACTCCAAATAGCAAAAATGATCCTTAGCAGAAAGAACAGTGCTGGAGGACTATCAATATCAAATTTCAAACTCTACTACAAAGCCATAGTCATCAAAACAGCTTGGTACTGGCACAAGAACAGACCTCAGGACCAATGAAATAGAGTTGAAAACCCAGAAATGAACCCACAGACCTATGGCCATCTAAACTTCCAAAAGAAAGCTAAAAAATTAGAATGGAAGAAAGACAGCCTCTTCAGTAAATGGTGCTGGCAAAATTGGTTAATCACTTGTAGAAAACTAAATCTAGATCCTTATATATTACCCTGCACCAGAATCAACTCCAAATGGATCAAAGACCTCAGAGTCAAAGCAGACACGCTGAAAACATTACAGAACAGAATAGGAAAAACCCTAGGTCTCCTTAGCACAGGCTGAAATTTTCTTAATAGAGACCCAGAAACACAACAAATCAAAGAACAAATGGTTGAACAAATGGGATTGCATGAAATTGCAGAGCTGCATGGCAAAGGACATAGCTAGCAAGATTAATAGAAAGCCCACGGAATGGGAGATCTTCACTAGCCATACAACAGACAAGGGTCTCATATCTAAAATACACCTGGAACTCAAAAAACTAAATCCCCCAACAACAAATCTTCAAAGAAACAACTGCCCAATAAATAAGTGGGCTAAAGAGTTAAAGAGATACTTCTCTGAAGAGGAAAGGATGACCAATAGACATGAAGAAATGCTCAACTTCTCTAGCCATAAAGATATGCAAATCAAAACAACATTGAGATACCACCTCACCCCACTTAGAATGGCTATAATCAAGAACTCTAATAACAACAGATGCTAGAGGGGATGTGGACAGAAGGGAACCTTACTGCATTGTTGGTGGGAGTGTAAACTTGTTCAACCACTTTGGAAAGTAGTATGGAGGTTCCTCAAAAGACTCCACATAGAGCTCCTATGACCCAGCAATCTCACTTTTGGGCATTTACCCACATGATCACAAACAAGACCATACTAAAGCTACCAGCACAACTATGTTTATTGCAGCATTATTTACCATAGCTAAGATATGGAACCAACCTAGATGCCCCTCAGTAGATGAATGGATCAAGAAAAGGTGGTATATATACACAATGGAATTCTATGCCTCCATCAGAAAGAATGACATTGCCCCATTTGTTAGGAAATGGAAAGACTTGGGAAAAATATATATTAAGTGTAGTAAGCCAGGCCCAAAGGAACATAGGTCCCATAGGTTTCCCTTATTTGCAATAACTAGTATATATCTGAGACAAGCAGAAACAGTCAGATAAGTCAATGTGAGGCAAAATGAACCCCAAGATAAGGACTCAAATGTTTTTTTCTTTCTTGCTATTGTTTCTAACATATTTATAAAATATTTCTTTGTTGTTTCATATGTACCTCCCCCACAGTATAACCCCTGTTTTCACTGTATTTGATGTTGTTAGAATTTGTGGAGGGGAAGGGAAAAAACAAATTGCTTAAATAGGGATGCAGGTGGACCTATTGCAACAATGAGATGTACAAGACGTTATGGTGGAAAAACAAACTTTACAACTTTGGTGTGGGTGGGGGGACATGGGAGGGACAGAGGGGGGGATGGGAAGGGATGGGAAGGGGAAACAAAGGAGGAGGCAACAATGCTTGATAAGAAATGTACTCATGGGCTAGGAAGTTGGCTCAGTGGTAGAGCGTTTGCCTTGCATGCCTGAGGCCCTGGGTTCGATACCTCAGCACCACATAAGCAAAAAGAAAAATGACTGAAGTGGCGCTGTGACTCAAGTGGTAGAGGGCTAGCCTTGAGCTGAAGAGCTGAGAGACAGTGCCCAGGCCCAGAGTTCAGGCCCCACGACCAAAAGAAAAGAAAAAGAAATGTACTCATTACCTTGTTCATGTAATTGTAACCCCTCTGTATGGTATTTTCACAATAAAAAAATAATAATAATAAAAAAGAATCTCACTTTCCTGCCTGGGATAGCTTTCAACTGGAATCCTCAGATCTCAGGCTCCTGAATAGCTAGGATTACAGCAACTAGTGCCAAGCCCCCTTTGACTTTTGAAGACAGTTATCTGTCCCTAGAGATTCTTCTTTTCCATATGACAGTGCTATTTTCTTCAAATATGACATGGTTTCAAGAATCTTTATATGCTATTTTTCTCTACCCCAAACCTTCTTTGTAACTCTTTGTTAACTCAATGAAATTGAATACTGTTAGTTCCCGTCTAGTTAGAAGGCAGACAGATATGAACATTAGATAGGCATGCTTATTAACTTATTTTCTTTTGATCTCCTGGCTCTGAGTAGTTTTGAAAGGGCTAGCAGAAAGTGTCTCCTTTTAGGATCTGACACAATTCTCTTTTATCTGCACAGTTTTTCAAACTGCCTCTGGATGGACTCTTGTTGGCAGGACAAGCTTTGTCCCAGGAATGTCTGCTCCTTGCTGGGATCATGTCCCATCTACTTGTTGCTGGGATGGCTTGTTCCAGTTGACTGATGATGGCATGTCCCACATCGGAGGAGCAGATGAATGACAGATCAAGAGAGAGTTGATGCCAAGAAGAAGCTTTTTATATTTCAACTGAAGCAACAAGGAGCTCAATAGAAATAGGTTTTGGGGTTTTGTTTTGTTTTTTTGGTTGTTTTGGAGGTTTTTTGGTCGGTCATGGGGCTTGAACTCTGGGTCAGAGCACTGTCCCTCAGCTTTTCAGCTCAAGGCTAGTGCTCTCCCACTTGAGTCACAGTGCCACTTCCAATTTTCTGTTGTTTTAGTGGAGATAAGAGTTTCACAGCTTTTACTCCTTGGGCTGGCTCTGAACCGAAATCCTAAGATCTCAGCCTCCTGAGTAGCTAGGATTACAGGAGTGAGCCATTGGTGCCTGGCTGAAATTAGTTTTTTTTAAAGGAGGGCTTACCTGGAACTTGTTAAGAATAGAAGTTAAATTTGACCAATAATTAAATGTAAGAGTTATTTATCCCTCTGTGAATCTGACTAAATGGTGCAGAGGATAAAATCTTCAATGACAAACTCAACAGTAGACATGATGAATGTTTTGAAAAATCAACTAATTAATTGAATGTAGCACTTTAGGACACTACTTAAGATTGAAACCATTGTCAGCTCTACATCAAGTTGCCCTACACACTTGGGAAACAGACATTAGACACATTTGTTCACATCCAAATCAGGTGAGCTTCTTTGTGGTTTGAGTTTAAAACTGCTCATTTTTTTTTCTTTGACCTGAAGAGCCATTAAGTCTTGATTACCTTAGAACAGTATGTGGTTTGAGTTTAAAACTGCCTGTTTTTTGTTTTCTTTTTTTTCTCTTTTGGTCTGTGGAGCCAGTTAAGTCTTGGTTACCAGAAAACCTTTAATTTTGGTAAAGAGACATATTAGGAGACAAACTGACCTTTGGTCACTTGCTAGATGGCTGGGGGTCCCATGAAAACACACCACATAGTCAAGATAGTGAATTTCTGGAGAAATCATGGAGATAAGAAAACTTGGCAGAGCTTTATTAAGTAAACAAACAGACAAACAGAAAATAAGGGGCCAAGGAGAGATACAGAGAGAGAGAGAGAGAGAGAGTTTTAACTAAAAGAATTTAAGCCCAGAATGGCTAGCATTCAACAGGGGTCCCCAGGAGCGACTCCACCTCACTCTCAAGGGTACAAGCAAAGGGGGAGGAAGGAGGGAGAGAGAAAAAGAAAGAGGAAATTGAACTGCTACAAAACAAAATAAGTTACCTTTCTAGAGGAGATGGCTGAGAAGCTTATGCCCACCCCCATCCTGTGGCAGGAACAGGGATGAAGATCTACAGAGGGAAACAGGAGACAGCAAAGGACAAGCAAGGAGAGTGAAGAAAGCCTGAATGTATCCTCTGACCATTTACCATTGCATTGGCAGAAACTGTTGCAATAAAAAATAAAGTGTTTTGGTTTTATGGAGTCCTTCAATACGAGTCTGGTGAGGATGTAGAAAGAAGGAGTCCCTAGGGATGCAGAAAGTAGGCCAACAAGAGTAGGTGGCCCCCTGTTATGGCAAGACGGGGGTGGGGACAGAGGGACCCACAGACAGAAGTCACTCACCAGACATAGACAGAAGATAGAAGACAGTGTAGTGAATGCACTGCCAGCAATGGTAAAGGAGAGAGGTCTGGCATTGGGCTCCCTTCGGCTGTTCGGGTCCATGGAGGGGGATCAGGAGGTGGACTGATCCTCAGAAAGAGAGCTAGGAGGGGTCCAGTAACTCCTGACACTACCCTGCCTGGGATATCATATGTAAGGTTTGGAGAAAGGAGCCCTCCATGTTGGTTCAGGCAGAGGAGAAAGTTTATTATAAGAACTGAACCTGCCTGCCCAAAGGAGATGTAGGCATGCAGAGGGAGGAATTAATGATGGAGACTGATTATATAGAGGGAGGGCAGGAAGGAGGTATGGCCACATCAGACATGGAAATGACCTCAGAGCCTGGGAACCTCCCACTGCCCCCAGGTGTGCCAGTTACTGAGGTTACATGGCTGAGCAAGGTCTGCTAGGGAGAGCCACGTGTGCATGGAGGGAAAACAAAGGTGAAGGGGCCATTTTTTTCCTGGGCAGACCTAACAATACGTGTGTGTGTGTGTGTGTGTGTGTGTGTGTACTATATATACATCTATATACACATATATAACTGTATACAGATGTATATATGCATAACTATAATAAAGAAATAATAAAGGAATAAATTACAAAAAGAAATGTTTAAATCTCTTTCTTTTCATTCATGGTCCATACACCTAAGGTCATTTAACTCAGAATTCTAAGACAGGTGTACTGTAACTGGATTTGTTTCATTATATCATGTGTCACTACCAAATTCAATAAGAAATCTCAATGTTTAAAGATTTTAGCAAATATTAAATCTAGCACAGTTCAATAAGTTAAAAGTACCAAGTAAGATCCTTTAGGAGTTTTTGCCTAACTGTACCTAGCTAAACAAATGGACAATAAATGTTATTGAGGAACATTTATGCAAACAACAGCTTCTAACTTTTATATATGTCTCACCTGTGGAGGAACTGGAAGAATTGGAGTTGCTGCAGGCTCTACTGCATTGCTCATTCTGGCAGGCGGAGGACAACTATTGGCTGCATAGTAATTTCGGAGTTTCTTGCCATGGTTCTTACCCTAGAAGTAAAAATATAAAATGAATGAGAACATCACATTGAGTTAATCAACATATTTATTTTAAAAAAAAATCACAGACAAAGCTGGGCGCCAGTGGCTCACATCTGTAATCCGAACTACTCAGGAAGCTGAGATCTAAGGATCGCGGTTCAAAGCCAGCCCAGGCAGGAAAGTCCGTGAGACTCTTATCTCCAATAAGCCACTAGAAAACCGGAATTGGCGCTGTGGCTAAAGCGGTAGAATGCTCACCTTGAGCTGAAGTGTGCAGAGACAGTGCCCAAGCCCAGAGTTCAAGCCCCACAACCGACCCTCCCCCCACAAAAAAAATCACAAACACTAATTTCATGCTATTCTTCTTTCATGTATGTACAAAATTGAAGCAAGAGTAATAGCTAAATTTGATTTACTAGATCTTAAATATAAAAGCCTGGATTTTTTTTTACAGATGATTAAATTCATCTGGGGAAGATAAAAGAAGAAAACTAAAAATAATAGTAATTTCCTATATGTTTCTGAAAAAGCATCATGTTTTCCAGTGATCCATGTAGTTAGTCAACTTATTGTTATTTGAAAACCATTACTTAAATACAAATCTTTTGATACTCAATATAATCTGCTTTAGAAGTGAGCAATGAAATGGACAACCCCCATTATTTTTACAAAAAGAGCACATATACAGCATTTTTAAACTTGCAAATGACTTTCACATGCAATAGCTTCTTTCCCACTTGCAAAAATCCTATAAGTAAAATCTGTTGATACTAACAGTCCTAAGCCAGAGAAACACACCAAGTGTGCCATCACAGGACAGAGAGTTAGACAAGTGAGAGAAAGCCAAGGCAAGAATACACATCTGAGCACCAGCCAGCAACGGCGGCGGCAGGGTCACAGTGGAGACCGCAGCCAGGCTATCAGCGGCGGCAGGGTCGCAGTGGAGACCGCAGCGGGGCTAAACCTGAGCGCTGAGAGTCCGGGACGAAGGAGCCAGACGCAGCGGGCGAGCGGATTCTACTCAACACCAGCAAGAACCGACAAGGAGCAGACAGCTTCATCCTGCAGTTTGCAGACCAGAGACGACCCAGGATCCAAGACTCGGCGTGAGTAGAAGCCCGA